GCAATAGCACTGGAACCCAAAAGGTTCAGATTACAAAATGAAATAGGATGGTGAGAAAGTCTACATTAACACATCATGATGAAGTAAGTAATAAACCGGTAATGTAGAGAAGCATAGCATCGCATTTGTTTTATATTACTATGTCGAGGTATCCTTTCATGAACTTATGACACACATTTGGTGTAGTCCTTTACAAGATTGTTTAAGAACCGAGCTAAAAAATCTTTATCCTTGATAACCCAAAATTACTGGGCAACTGTTTCAAAGGAAATGTTCTCTCGTGGACTTTGTTAACTGTTAATATGAAATATACTAATGGTATGTTGATCCAAGTACCAATAGGTTGTGTTGGAACATCATTACCAGTAATTTTTAGTATTATATGACAGGTAATTGTAATTTAAAATCCACTTGCCACAAAAATAACCCAAAAATGTTATAAACTATGTATACCCATTGCAGTATACTGTAAGGTTTGCTACACAAGCATTATTGTGGTCGAACATTGCTCAGTACGAATAAATACAATATGCTTCCCACTCTTGAATACTAACATTAAATAGTTTGTTCTGCTACTGATGCAATCAATGAAATCGTTGTCCATGGATATTGATAAGGTTTATAGTTCAGCAAAGTTATACAGTTAAGTTTCGACGTGCTCATAACACTCAGTTTTGTACAATTGTTTTTTGATTGCAGGCATATGGTTTCAAATTAATAAATAATTATTAACTCGTGTAATCTTATATTTTCACTTTTGACTGTTCATAGTAAATTCTTTTCAAAAACCAAATTAAACAGTTGAATGGCCTTTATGATCTTTTTGTAGAGGCATGGTGATTGGTTGAGGACGATTACCTTATGACTAATTCCTACAATGTATACAATTCAATTACTTAATTATTAATAGCATAGGAATCACCTTATTTATACTTTTATTTTTTTTTCTATTTTTTTTTTTGTTGTTTTTTCTTTTATTACTTATTGCAATACATTCAATACATTAATAATAAGTAAGATTTTATTTATTTAACATTTATGGCTCTGATATAAAATACCATTTTCTTATTATTAATTCTGTGGATTATAATAGTACTAAATATTTTGTATAAAAATGTTAGAATTTAGAAAATATAATCATATAATATATAATATTATGGTGCAACTGTTTTCTGAATCTTTATCACATAGCACCATTACTATATTATATCTAAAATATAGGTAGGTATGCAGTATGAAAAATGTTTGCATTTTGAAGTATATTTTGATCATGCATAAAATAATAAATCAATATTATGCCAACTTCTAAATACTATTCACACATTAAAATTACAAATAAAATTACTTTGTGAATATAAACAGAACATAAAATTGACTACAGAACCATCACTAAATTACATTTAATTTATTACCTAAGTATAATACAAACATTTGTCCCCAAAGTGTTTGTTAAAAATTAAAAACTAAATTAATAAAACTAAATGGTTTACTAACATTTTCTCGGCCTTCCGTTGTCTTGAACACAATAAAAGCAAACCCTCTGCCCTGACAATTTCGGTAACAATGATTGAAGATATTGTATGGGTTTCAAACAACCTAGTGCAACTGCAACGTTCAGCTTATTACCACGTTTGTACAATTTTGTTATAACTTGAGTTTTGAAATAATAAGTTAGAATTAAAAGAATTGAAAATATACATCATAAAACTTATAATTTAATAACTAAAAAAAAATATAAAAATATGCATCACTTCAATACATTGATAAAGTATCAAAATTGTATTATTTATTAGTTCCTTAATTAAAAAAAATGACAGTAAATATTTTTTAAAATACCATAGGGAAACTATTCTTGTAACTTTTATGAATTATTTATAATATTAACGGTGGAACGTTAGTTTCCTGAATTATGCTATGAACGTAAGGCTGAATAGTTGAATCCCGTTAACTATAGATAATTAGGCATCAAATGAGTTCGGTTAGTTTATTTCTTCCTCTATTCGATTTAGTCAGTTTTATAGGTACGCAGCTTATTAATGTTTGGATTAAACTTACCTCATGTATCATTTTTCTCAAGTTTTAACTCACTATTTCTGTAAAAGTGCTATCTCCAGCTCCCACAGTATGAGATTTAGGATCCCTCACCCTAGTAGGTCATACAGTCTCGCTGGATCAGAGATGGGGTATGAACCGTAGTTTGCTGCCTCGCCGCCGCCTATTTATGAGAATCGGTGCAGTATTTTCCTACTGTAGGAATGGATTTCCGTTCCTACATCGGTGGTTATTCCGGATTTTACAGGTTAGGTTAGGTTCTTAGGTTCTTGAACCAAACTTAGACTAAAATTATTAAATATATAATTTCATTAGAACCGTAAGATAGTGGTTTTTATTGCCGTCGATTTCGTTATCATTTCAGCCGTTATTAGGTATAGATTGGCACGGCAGCGTCGGTGACACAGCTTTTAATCTGTGTTGCCAAAAATAATTACCGAGTGTTTCGACAGCACCAGAGTCGACGACCATAACCACAGGATTGAAGTTATCTCGCCGCCGCTTTAATGTTAGTCACGTTCACGTCATGAAGGTATTAGCGAGTACCGAATAACTTTATTTTTCTGTGTGTAGTTGTGTTGTTTGAATAACGATATTTTTCTGGAGAGCATCAATGAAGAAATAAATCGCAGATTTAATGAATTGAGATCACTTAAACCTTCATTTTCATTCCTGGAAAATCCATTTGCTGTTGATGATGTGAGCGATGGCTGTCCTATTTCATCACTAAGAAGAAAAGATACAGCAACTGTAGAGTTGGAGCTACTACAACTGCAAGAGGATGAAGGACTAAAAGGACTCGAACAAAGTGGCATTTCTACCATAGAATTTTGGAAAAATGTTCCACAAGAAAAAATCCACAAACAAAAGAGTGTGCTTTAAGGGGATTCGATACCGTGATTTTCTGATTTCGTCTAACACACCCGCGACATAGTATTTTAGACGTGTTTTTTGCCAAACATACCAATTGATCTAATGAAGCGATAAGAATTCTGAAAACAGATTTGAATTTGTCGTCAAGTCTACTTGAAATCGACTTTTCCACATTTTTGATATTATCCCCCAATTTTTTTAAAATGTCATATTCAAAAAGAGTATTTAAAAATTCTGTTATTTCAATTTTTGGAGAAGTTAAAATCAAAAAATCAAAAATGTGGGAAAGTCGATTTCAAGTAGACTTGACGACAAATTCAAATCTGTTTTCAGAAATCTTATCACTTCAATAGATAAATTGGAATGTTTGGCAAAAAACACGTCTAAACTACTATGTCGCGCGTGTGTTGTACAAACACAGAAAATAACAGTATTGAATCCCCTTAAATTCAGTTCCTTCTACAGCAACGTTTTTGGTTAAATTTTTATTGATGTAATCCATATAATTCAATGTAATCCCCAAACTTTCTTACTTTGCCCGGATTACATATCCCACACACTTTTGGTTAATTTAGGTATGGAATTTACTTTTGGTATGGAATTTTTAAATATTCCATATTTATCAAAATAGGCAAATACTCCACAATCAGCTCGATAAAAATCTAACAGATTTAACCATTCTTCTTTAGTTATTATCACTGATACACTCTGCTCTGTGGCGAAAAAATTAGATGTTGGCTCAAATAACAATTCATTGTGATCTTGGCAAAGGAGGGATTTGTTATAAATCATTATGGGCTTGAGTTTTTTACGAAAATTGGCAACAGATGTTTGCCAAGATTTAATAAAGTCCTTGGGAATGCAAAAATATGGAACATTTTCTACCGTGTGATAAGGTCTTAAATTATCACATACTAAAGGACCTAAATATTTGTTCTGTACAGCACCACTCATAAAATTTATCATTATCGGATTGAATACATTTTTATAATATGCTTTACACCGTCTACATGGTTTGGTGTTTTAACAAAAAGTTCTACTTTAGGAAAGTAAAGTTGAAATATAGTTTTCACTTCTTGAGGAACGAATATCATTGTCTCTTCAGCTATACATAAGTTACCGTGTGGGCATGTTATATCTTCATTTAATGTCCATGGCACATTTTCTGTATTTTCTATATCAAAAATATTGTCTTAGTCAACCTTCTTTGGTTTCATTCTCCAAATGGCCTGCTTTACTTCCTCCTTGTCGCTCAAACCAGGTGGGTCGGATCCGAGTATCATAGTTGCGGGTAATGCTGGTCTAAATTCACCCACATACATCCCTGTGACAGACTGTTCCGGGCTCTCGTTTAATACACTGTCGCCCGGGACCAAGACTTCCAATAGTCTTTTTACTGTATACTCAAGTGAGTTGGTGTAGGTACCGTCCGCTTTACGAATGGCCGTTGGGAGACTCTCAGACGGTTTCTTGTCTCCTGTTTCAAGCCATTTGTAAACAGAGCCTCATGGTTGCTCATTCCCTACATTCGATACGTATTCTCTCCAGGTATCTCTCTTTGCTTTAATGCGAATTCTTTTTTTTTTGGTTGATTTTTCTCTAATAAAGACTTTTCTTAACGGCCGTCAACTAAGGGCCTTCAAATTGTTTCTCAGTCGCGCCTTTAACTGCCCGAGTCTCTTCAACTCCTTTTCAATCGCCTGGTTCCGCCACGGCGGGGGCCTGTGCTTACCGATCGTTGCACGTCGCATGTGGGTTTCACAGGCTATTTGCAGCTCTTCTGAGAGTCCTGTCTTACAGGTCTCAGCGTCTGGACACTCGAGATCAGCTGTTATCGCCGTTCGATTGGCCTCTAAGGTCTTACAGAAGTTATGTCAAATCACGTTTCTGCAGTCTTATCTCTGTGATACTCTTACCTTTTTATACGGTCACCTTATATTCTGCTGCAAATTTTATGATCGCATGGTCGTTTGATGTAAGATCATGGACCGCCATGTTTGTAGATCCCCTAGGATGCAAGGGAATGTAGTAGTTATGAACACTGACAAACTGCATGTCCAAAAAGGAAGTCGAAATCAGGAAACGCCAAAACAAGGAGCACATGATTGTTGTTTGTTTAAAATTTGGGACATTTCAATGTCTTGAACGGTATTAAAAATTTTAGATTTTGCCAAATTTAAAGAATAAGGATCAAATGTCTTCAATGTAGCACCAATACCTTTGAGAAACGCATCTACAGGATCAATATCACTTTCTTTAGTTGTTTCTTTTTTTTCCAATAAGTATTTCATAAGACTTGTGGAAGCTGTTTCTAGTTGTTGGCAACTCCCAGTTGTCACGATTTGTTTCTTATTTATTGTTTTTTTCCTTTTCCAAAAGTCATCATCAGTGACCCACTTGTAACCTACTGTACAGCAGAGCGACATCCACTTACCCACCTTTTTTAGGAATGGTAATTAGCCAAGGAGCACCACCAAACAGTTAACAGTTTTTTTTGTATTTATTCTGAAAAATTATAATATATTATAATTTAACTATACAATTATACTATAATATATCATTTTCTAATAGTATATTTTCAAAGTAAAAAGAACCATCTATTTGATTAAAGATGTAGGTACCTACATTATTACTTACAGAATTCATTGTTTGATATCTTGTTTTTATTTTATAATAAAGTCAAAACAATTAAGTGATAGGTAGATTGTTAAGTCAATTTCTCAAAAATAATGACGACATTATCATAACATTCTAGTAAGTTAACCGTTCAGGGCACAGGCGCGCTGAATAAAACTATCAAAGTAAAATATAGTAGGTACTATTGTAAAATAGTACTAAGCCTACTCTGTTTTTCCTAAGTATTTTTAATTTTCTCATACCCTGTAAATTTTTCAAGCATAGGAACTAAAAAAAATATTTGAAAATGGAATTGAGTAGTTTATCAAGTTCACATAACTACATAATGCTCGCATTTCAGTCATTTAAGACATCCACCCTTTTTTTTTTGGAAAGTCCTTAGCTAACTTTTATCCACATAAATGTTTAATGTTTTGATCGATGGTCAACCTAGCACCTTGTCATTTGAGATTTAACATATTTTATTGTTGTTGTAATGTTATACAAAGGTCGTTGAGTTGATACTGTTGATACAAATTTGTATTTTTTTAATCGTGAAAATTTCTATTTTATTTAATAAAAGTGACAATTATTATATCAAATAAAAACAATTTTATGCTTGTTAATGTTGATTTTTTCAAAAGTACTTTGAACGGTTTAATTGTTACACGTTTACTTATTTTAACATAACTAATGAATGATATAATTTGGTTCAGAATTATGAATTAATGTTTTTACTTCAACTACATTTAACGTGATTATTTATAAATGAAAATGCTTGAAATTTCAGGATCGTTCATTTTTAAAATGCACTCTCTCATGGTTCCAGATAAGTGCTGCAGAATCTACAATTATATTTTTTACTTATATAATGTTATGATCTTATAACTTTGGTGTAAATATACATCATATTATTTGCCAAAGGTGTAGTCTTGCTGGTTCGCTTTCCTAATTAGCTATTTCAATTTCTAACTTCTCCTCCTTTAATTTAGCCAGTTCTATAGGTTTTGAGCTTTGAGTGCCTCTCCATTGACTGGAAAGACCTTAGCTCATTTTTATCCACATTTATGTTTAGTGTTTTGATCGATGTTCCACCTAGCACATTGTCATTTGTGATTTCACATATTTTGTTGTTGTTACGTTTGAGGGAGCGTTCGGTTACGTCGGAAAGACGAGGACATGAAAGAATGTCAACATTCGAAGCTAATTGTTCCAAACATACAATTATATTTGTAACTTATATAATGTTATGATATTATAACTTTGGTGTAAATATTCATCATAATATAAGTAGCCAAAGTGTAGTTCATCTAAACTAATTTTTGTAAATATAAGATTATATTTGTAACATATAAAATTGTATGAAACTATAATTTTGGTGTATAGTTATATCATATGAGTAGCCCAAGGTGTAGTCTTACGGGTTCGTTTTATTTACTTGCTTAGATGTTTTGTTATCAATTTCTTCCACTTGTTCACTATCTGCGGATTTTTGTGGGACATTGTACTTCAAAATTATTTCTGTATCAACAGTACCTTTTTTGGGTGTCGCAGTGATGGGATGTCTCCGCCTAATACCCTATGCAAAAGAATGCTTATGTGAAGACCAGAGTGGGTTTCGCAAAGGCAGGTCAACTATAGAACAATTATCGGTTATAGCACATATTATAGAGAAGAAATATGAGTATCGCCAGGATATGTGGCAAATGTTTGTTGACTTTAGGAAAGCTTATGACAGCATACACAGAAATAGTCTCTATAATTTAATGGAAGAATTTGGATTCCAAAAAAAATTTATAAACCTAACCAAGCTGGCCATGGAAGGTGTGAAGTACCAAGTGAGGGTAGACAATATTATGTCGGAAGCGTTCAGCGTCGAAACGGGACTAAAACAGGGGGACACACTTTCCTCATTATTATTCAATGTCTTCTTTCTTCTTTCTTCACCTTAACGATCATTGAAGGGCCTGAGCTGCCACAAATAAGTCTCTCCACCTTTCTCTGTTGAGTGTATATAAAAAAAAAGTAATGCTAAATATAGGTAAACAATGTCTTTTAGGTACCGTTATCAGACGGTAAAATCATAAAAATAAATAAAAAACAATAATATTAAAAACCACAGCTAATAAAAAGAAAAAGATTAAAAACTTCAATTTACAGCAAAATTATTTTGGTCAATTCGAATTACAAATTTGGTCAGATCGTGATCTCCGAGTTGCTTGTGTAACTCATCGTGTGTATGCCATTGGCCTAATTCGTCAAAATACCGACCACACCACGAACATATAATTCTTCTTCTGGTTCAAATGTTTGAAACAGTCTCTTTATAAAGGTTTTATGCGATTCTACCGTGCCGGTCGACCACATGAAGTGTTTAAACCGTGTGCAAAAGTAGTCCCAAATTTCAGGATCGTTCATTTATAAAAATGCACTCCCTCATGGTTCCAGATAAGTGCTGCAGAATCTACAATTATATTTGTAACTTATATAATGTTATGATCTTATAACTTTGGTGTAAATATACATCATATTATTTGCAAAAGGTGTAGTCTTGCTGAATCGCTTCATTTACTTGTTTAGATGTTTTGTATTTGGATATAATATTGTCCTTGTATAATATAATATTAAATTACCGCATTATGCTCACCTTTCAGTCGCTTAAGGCAGGGGTCTCCAAACTACGGCCCCCGAACAAGTTTTAACCGGCCCGTGGCCCGCATAGGACGCATAGGTAAATAAAGATAAAAAAATTATTTCAAAAATGTATTTATATTATATTATATTCATACCTATTTATTTTTATTTAAGTATATTGTAAAGTAAACAATATTCTATAAAAAAATATAAAGTAAATATATTATTTATATAGGTACCTATATTATCATAAAGTTAAAAATTATATGTTTTAATAAACTTTTGGCCCGCTAAGAGCATTTGATTTTTTTTGTGGCCCTTGAATAAAAAGGTTTGGAGACCCCTGGCTTAAGGCATTCAACATCTTCTTCTGGAAAGTCCTTGGATAACTTTTATCCTATTGGTAATTTAATATTAAATGTCATGGTTAGCTAATTTCATCCTTAGCTAATTTTTATCCACATTTATGTTTAATGTTTTGATCGATGGTCAACCTAGCACCTTGTCATTTGAGATTTAACATATTTTATTGTTGTTGTAATGTTATACAAAGGTCGTTGAGTTGTTACTGTTGATATACAAATTTATATATTTTAATCTTGGAAATTTCCATTTTATTTAATAATGGTGGCGTTTATTTTATGACATAAAACAATTGTATGCTTGTTGATATTGATTTTTTCAAAAGTACTTTTAACGGTTTAATTGTTACACGTTTACTTAATTGAACATAATTAATGTATGATATAATTTGGTTCTGAATTATGGAGTAAAGTTTTTTACTTCAACTGTATTTAACGTAATTATTTATGAATAAAAATGCTTGAAATTGTATTTAATTATTATATTATCTTAATAATTAATCAACTATTAATTGTGTACCTATACTTGTATAATAGCTATTTGTTCACTTCTAACACATTTGTTTCCAAATGTATTAAAGAAAAAAAAGAAGATATAACATATTAATCGTTGACATTATTGCATAGATATGGCAATTGTGAATAATTATTATACAACATTCAACTGATACATGGTGTAGTTTACTTTGATTATATATTCTCCAATCTATATATATATATGTGGGCCCCTGGCGTGGTTGAAACAACCTGCAAGCTCATAATATATTTGTAATAATTGAATGAACATTGAATAGTGAATTACAACCAATAAGCTCAAACATATTTATTTGGATGTATATGCTGGCTTGTTTGCATGTGGTAAAAACATTTTGACTGTCTTAAAATAATAGGTATATTGATAATTCATATACCTACATACAATAGAGTTGTACAAAACACTGTGCATTAACAGTCAAAGAAATGGTTATCAAATGTGTGGTAAGAAATATTTAACAAGTAGTTGTTATATAAGTGTACATAATTAGTATTATCTTATTTATGAATGTAAGAATAAATAACTAATAAAATAAGAGCTGTGTTGCTTAAGTCATTATTTTAACTGATGAGGTACAATGTGAATGTGTAAATAAAAATAAAAATTCATTATCAATATATTAAATTGTTTCATTTTTATAAATATTTTATCATACATTAAATGTTGTATTAAGAAAAAACGTGGTTCTGAAGAATTTTAAGTAAATATACAATTTTATAAAAACTCAATGAGCGTAAAATATTGTTTTTGTTTCATAAAAAAATAAAAATAATATCAGACTATTAGTTTTGTTTAATTTTATCAAAATGCATTACTATCAACAACAATAATTTAATTTTCAAAGTGATTTTGCTAAGGTGGTATCATCGTCTTAATCATTTATAAAGCAGTTGGCAAATTAACATCATCTTATTGTTAAGATCGTATACTTTGGTGATTATTTAAGCTCTTCAATTAATTCATCTGAGAGTTTTTTTTTTACTGTTACAGAATCTTCAATCCAGAAACTTCCTCCATCACTATCATCTGATTTATCAAATATGTCATCTCTTCAATATATTTAAAGATACCCTTTGGGGATAAGAATTTAGCATTTTTTTTTATATTTATGCACAAAATCAAAATGTTTTTTTTCAGTGTAGAACTCAATTTAATATTTGGTATAATAGGTGGTCAAAAATACCTAATGTAGGTACGAACTTCGCGAATTGAAGTAATTTGCTAAAGTCATATGTATTCATTCCTAATTGCTTACCTTTATGCCCATTCTTTAGGTAATATTTCTTCATTATTTGCCTTATTAATATTGATGGAGTAGCCAAACTTTCTATATGTTTTGTTACTTTGTATTTTTACCTAGATTTATAATATGGAAATGCGTAATCATACAAAAAAATATTGTTATGAACAATACATAAAAATAATTTCATACGTATGTGTATTGTAGCTATTTCATTTTCGAACTTCTCCTCATTTGATTTATCCAGTTCTATAGCTATACAGCTTTTGAGCTTAGAGTGCCTCGTCAGAGACGTCCATACTTGAGATGGTCAACCCAATTTCATCATCATCGGGTATCATCAACAGGTATTCCATACTGTATGGCAACCTTCACTGATAGGTAAGAAAAAGAAATGACTGTCAAGAATCAATGACTACTAAACAAAATAATTATTCAATAATTATTTATTATAAAAAGTTCGTTTAAAGCTAACTTTTTAGAGCTAACCCTGTATAACAGATGTTACATGTATACGGCTTTTCGTTAGAATGTGTTTCTATATGGGATTTAAATTTAAATTTTTACAAACCAACCCGTATGAATGGTGCATATCTTAAGCATTTATCTACAATTTCTAAGACAATTTCTGTCCTTTCCCTTCCTTCAGTTTTACCCATATAATTTATACTGATAATTACCAACGAACCACTAGAACCACTGTCTTCGTTTATGGTAAATTTCTGTAACAAATTGGTAAAACAAAAATGTATTTCGGTATAAAATATTAGAAAAGACTTACTTCTGGTTCATGTTTTCGAAAGCTGTACATAGTATCTCCGTCAAGAACATATTTTCCTAAAAATGATTTATGTTTATTTAACATTTCTTTTTTGATATTTGTCTCGACATTTGGATTAAAATATATCCTGTATTTTTGTAATACAAATTCATCTTCATAAAATAAGTTAACACTATTTGTTACTAACTCCACACCACGTCCAAAAATACGTACAAAAAAATAAAACACTTAATTGTTGATTTGTTTAGTTTTTTTCCTGGAAATTTGTAACAATTTGTTGTAGGCAGGGTTGGGCAAGTTACTTAATATATTGTAACTGGTTACAAGTTACAAGTTACTCTAAAACTGTGTAACTAGTTAGGTTAGGTTAGGTTAGGTTAGGTTAGGTTAAATTAAAATATTGAAAAACAATGTTGAAAATCAACTGTCCGAATTGGAATTTTTTAATAAATAGTTCTTAAATTTGTTAACGGGACACTTTATGTCATCTATGTACAATTTAAATATTTTAGATAACTTTTCGTTAAGTGATTTTTGTATAAAATATGATTTTATACTAAACCACAGTGTAAATCCTACAATGCTACATGAACATAAAATAATTATTTACAGAATTGTCATTCATTAAAACCAAGTCCCAAAGGCTTAAAAATGAGAACAGTCACTATGTATCTGAATTTGAGAATGAGAAAAAACTAGTAGGTATTTCATGTTATACATTTCTTCAAATATAGCATAGAAGTTTCATATTAGAAAAATATTAAATTATCCATTTTAAATGTAAAAAAATCTCATGAGTCTTAGTTATTTTATTACAATTCAATAACTTAACCTAATTACTTTAAATATACAACCAAAGTTTCATCTGCATAATTTACAAAACTGGTAGTCCAACTTGATATTTCATGTTTCATAAAAGCTACTATAAAAAGAGGGGTAATATAATTATTAGATTTAATTATTTTATTGTTAAAAATATTCGTACTTACTTATCTATTGTGTAGTCTGTTCAAAAATGTACAACATAAGTATTTATTATTCCATACTTATTTAAATGTACACAGAACATGTATCAGAAAATATAAATTTTCATTTGCTGATCCAATTGGGAAATATAGTCACAATATACTCAAATTCGACTGTTATTATTGATTGACTTACTCGCATTTAAAGAGTTTTGGAGAAAACAACATTTTTTTCCTTAATAAAAAAAAAATTTCAAATTATTTATTTTTTAGGTAGGTAAATATATTTTTAAGTACATAGCTCATTAATTTTGTAGTTTTTTCATCAAAGAATAAAATGTATTATAGTTTATTAGTACCCATAAATAGTTTGTTGATGTTATTGTCAAAATAATTTAAATTGCAGACATCCTATCGTAAAACCACCGAAAAAAATAACTATTATGTATACTTACGTCTCCACTCTCCAATAGTGTGGTAACTTCGTTTAACTAATTTTGTTTTTGTAAGTGATGCCGTGATGGTGATTAATTTCTTAGAAATGTATATCAATTTAATTTGTGGAACATTTCTTGAAACCACATGGAAATTATTTTGCAAATATTCTGTAGTTAAGCCACATATGGATGTGGACATGATACCTTATTCTGTATGTGACCGATTTTAACATTTGTGTCACTCTTGCATTGTAAGATACTGTTCAACTTGATTTTGTTTTGGTGAGTAATACATAAATAATCCCATGACAAATTTGTCATGAATAATCTATAATGCATTCACAGTTTCAAGCACTCCAGTGTTTGGACACATGAAACAAATCCTCAAATTTGATGGACGTTAAAATGATGAATGGTGAATTGGTGGGTACATTGATAACACAATAACGAGAATTTTTGAATAATAATAACAAGCTTACTAAAATAATAACAGTTATTAATAATATAATTATTTATTTATTAGAACTCAAATGATTCAACTATACTGATTGCTAATACTGACGAAAATCAGAGGAAAAAATAATAAAAGTACTATAACTTTATAAGCCATTTTGATAACAGGTATTTTGTGATTGTCATCAATGATATTAGTAAATGATAACTGAAAACATATGAAAACTCGATAAACAAAATAAATCGATAATAGTCATTAATACTAGTAACAGTGATGACTGATGATTGTTGATTATTTTGGTATGATAAAGGAAAAAATTGTTCATATTTCCAAAAACTAAATAATTTGTAGAAAATTAACGGCAACACTTTTATAAATATTTGAACCATCAAAATTTTTCTAAAAATCGGCTTTATAAATTGGCTATTTTGAATTTTTCAAATACATTTTTTATAAAATTTAAAATTTTTTATTTTCAGAATTAAAAAAGTAAAAAATTTTTTTTATATAAAACATGTAGCGCAAGCGTCTACAAATAAAACAAAAAAAAAAAAAAAAAAAAATATCGAATACCAAAAAAGTTATTCCATATGTCAGTACTGTTTGAGACACCCTGTATACTTTGGTGCAATGTAACTGGATACAAGTTACAGTTATGTAACTAAGTTACATTTAAAGTTAAAAGTTACATTGATAAATAAAATATGTTTGTATTTATTCATTTATTATAATTAACACATTTTAAATATTTTTATAACAATACTGTAATAGACAATAGTTAATGATTAATATTAACTTGTGTAAAATATTTTTCACAGATTACAGTTATAATAAAATAATTTAATGTATTAATCATACTATCTACTTAATAATAAATTAATAAATCACAACAATAGTCAGTTTTCTTATAAAATAGGTACATGCACATGCAAAAAGGTGGTAGGTAATTTAAGTTTTAATAAAGTCAATGGTATTTATAAACTAAGCTGGTACAATTTAAAAAGATAAAATTGAATTGTAATAATGTATTATTTTTTACCATAAATTATAAATTATAATGAATAAGATTTATTTCCTTTAAGAAAAACTAATTTTTCAAAATTCTGGTCAGATAAATTTCTTCTACTGGGACAATGAATGAACCCAGCAAATGAAAATAACCTTTCTACTGGAGCAGAAGAACAAAGATTAGTATTAAATTTTACAAATAGTTTTTTTATAGCTACATAATTATTTAAAATTGATAATGATTTATTTTTATCATTAAAAAATTGTATGACTTCCAAATTTGCCTTTGAATCAGCTTATGTTTGGTCTTGAGATGAAAATACAAAAAAATCATCTTCATCTGCTTCAGCTGAAGTATCTATAACACTGGTTTCCATAACAAACTTTTCAACAGTATTGATACACAAATTTTGAATCCTTTTCTTATCTACATCATTATTCTCGGGTATCCATCGAAGTTTAAATGCTGGATGAAAACATGACGCCAAAATAGCTTCATTTATTTCAGGTTATAAGTCATAAAACAATTTAAAACGTTTTTCAAGTGATTTCAGTAAAGGATCAATAAGATTTGCTGCATAACGAAAATTATGTTCCTTAAGTAATTGTATTCGGATCCTCAATGAAAATAAAGTGGGTATTAAATTGCCATAATAAACATTTGTTTCTCCTTGTAAATGGTCTAATGCAATAGCAATAGGCTTCATTAATTGAACATACTCTGACAAATAATCAATATCTACTTCTTTAAAATGAAACTTCAAATCTAATTCTTTGGTTAATGTATTTAATTTGTCTCTATATTTTAATAACTGAGATACTGAATCAAATAAAGAATTCCTAAAAACTGAAAACTTATTTTTTCAAATTTTTTTGATGATTGATTGATAAATGATTAGTTTTTAAGTTATGACGACTTACAATTATTACTGTACATCGTATATACGTTAAATACCTCAATAATTACATGATTTGAAAATCCATTGTTGTAGTCTAGTGGTAACTAACACTTATTAGTGACTAACAGATTGGAGTTCAATTCCGCGAACAAAGGTTTAATTTTTTAATTTAAAAAATTTGTGTCTACTTTAAATTTTTGATGAAAATTGTTTAATTATTTAAAAGTGATTATTGAGAGTAGGTATGTAATAGTGGGATATGTAATACGAGGTGTAATATAATATTATAATATGTAAATTAATAATTGTTTTTATTTTATATAATACCCAGTCAATAGTAATATTAAATAAATAAGTATAAAATATATACTAAATAAATAGGTAGGTACTTACTTTTACATGCGTTCGGAAATTTGAAGTATGTTTGTATGAGCCACTTATATGTTTTTCTTCACGTTTATCTACTTTACACAACATACATCTAGCTAAAACGTTTTCATTTTTTTCAACAACGACTTCAAAATATGTGCCATTCAACACGGCTGGTCGATGATCCATATTAGTAAAAAAAAATAACAGTCGGCAGCACAATCATAAACAAAATTAACTCGTAGCAGTCGTATCTAACTCGTATGTAACTCGTGTCTCGTAAGATCGTATGGTTCAGTGTCTTTTCTGTGGACTGTGGTGAATCGAATGACAATACTCGTCGTTTAGTCGTTAGGCCGTTAGTCGGCGTTTAAAAAAAAATAGCCCGGGAATCCCAACACTAATACCAATTATATATCACATATGATCATCATCAGCTTATCAACAAAACGTCGTCTTTAGACTTTAGACTTTAGAGTTTAGACACACAGATAATAATACGGACTCTATACGCTCGTATTATTCTGTGCCTCTGTGGTATTATCACACAGAGTGACTAGTGTTGACTGTTTGTATTAAATTTAAAATTCTTAAATATAATAGAAACTAAAAAAAAAAACTTAATTAATACTAATGTACCATATTATTTACAATGTAACTTTTAATTGTAGCTTGTAACTTTCATATAAAGTTACAGGAAAGTGTGTAACTAGTTACAAGTTACAAGTTACAAAAGTAACCGAGTTACATAACTTAGTTACATGTAACTATGATATGCCCAACCCTGGTTGTAGGTACAATTAGATATAATGTACAAATGTATACTTATGATCATATTGTGGCATAAATGAGTTAAACATTTAAAATTAAGTTAAAATTACCTAGTTATTAAATAATTATTTATTATAAAAAGTTCGTTTAAAGCTAACTTTTTGTTTATTGGAATAAAAATGAAGTCTTTCTGGAATATATCTACTTGTCTTGTCCATCTAAACTATTTTTCGCAAATATAAGATTATATTTGTAACATAAAAAATTTTATGATCCCATAATTTTGGTGTATATTTACATCATATGAGTAGCCTAAGGTGCAGTCTTTATGTTTGGTTTCATTTACTTACTTAGATGTTTTGTAACTTTGTATTTTTACCTAGATTTATAATATGCAAATGCGTAATCGTACAACTAGTTATTGTTATGAACAATACATAAATACGTAATCTCATACGTATTTCTATCGTAGCTATGTGAATTTTTAACAATTGCATTTTTTCCTCATTTTTTTTTAAACATGTAAAAATTCTGTTAGAGTTTCAACATTTTGTAATCGACACGATTTTAAAAACACATATTTTGCCAAGTAGAATCGTTTTTTTCATATAGACTTATGTAACTCTAAATGGCGACCGGAGCCGATAGGCGACGGGATCGAGGTCCATTGAGTTTGAAGACCAGACCCCTATACTTTTGATACTTCAACTAACAAGGTTAAAATTACTTGTTTGGTCATCAACAAGATGTCTTTTACGTCATTTGACTTGACGTAGGGCTCTACATATAATTGATATGCTATGCCACCATTTTGAGACTCATTTATCAATGGTAATTTAGGTTGATGCTCAAAGAGATGTTTGTGTTTGGTGTTTGGATTTCTGCACGATGAGGCCATTTTTGTTTTTAGTGAAGAAAATACAAATCACATATTAATAAACAAATAAAGAATTATAATAATATGTTTAATATGTTTATGGTATACCCTCTACACAGATGGAGATGCACAAATTATGTCAAAATTTAACTCTGGTGTTGTTAGCAGTCTCGTAAACCAAGCCTAACCTAACCTAACCTAACCAATCTTGTCACTCGCTTCCTCATGTAGCGATTTCCTTATTTTGTTCTAATTCAATTATTTTATTTCTATAAATTTCAATAAGGTTTTATCTGTTGTGCCAAATCTTAGTTATATTTAGTAAATCTTCAAAAGTTATTGTAATATTAGTATTGACGAAGTCAAGCACACACATCTGATAAGTTGTTACTTCAAGTTTGAGCTCTCGATATACCCGATTAATGTGGTTTATTGGTAATTCATTATCAAATGGTATATCCCAACTAGGCTTGCCAAAAAAATGTGCTTCCAATTCAACTGTACCAAACTGAGGTAATAGCATTAATTTCTTTTTTGCGTTATCCTGCTTATTTTCATTGTAGAGTGTTTTGAATGCATTAAACGCACACAATCCAAACGATGGTATTTCATGTTTAAGTTCTCGATCGATTGGCCAATTAACTGAAGTTATTACACGCACATCAATGTCAAAATCAAAAGATTTTGAAATGCCAAAAATGCACTTGTTTACAAAAACCCTGTCTTCGTAGTTTCTCATAACACTTTTGGTCAAATCAAACTTATCCCGTAGCATACTATTTAATTTGGAAATGTATAAAGTGCCATAGCCATTGTCATATGTACTATTAAGTTTGGTGATCAATCATAAGTAGTTTTATATATTTAAAAATATTAAATCACAAAAAAATCCCTTTCTTAATTTACTTGTAAAAATGGCTAAGTAAAAAAAATATAAGATCTTTAAGCACTATAAAGATGTGATATCATAAATAAATGCTAGGTATATTGAATTTAAGTAAACTTATTTTTATTCCAAAAATGTATTTACTTGTCAAGGAATTGTTGCTTAAAAGAAACAAAGTGTGATGAACAAAATAATTAAATGACAAAGGACTATTAAAATAAAATATAACAATTATTATTATTTTAAAAATATTATTATTAATATTTATACACTAGTATTCTAAATTCTAAATATTTAAATACAAAGAGAAAAAGAATTAAATTAATGGTGTTGCTTGATAATATTAATAATTCTAGAAGTTTTCGCAAGTGTAAGGGAAGGTTTTGGAGGTGAATGCCCTTATTTCTTTTTTTGTAGGCATTTTATTACTTGTTTCCTTTAAATTTTTAAGTTCTAAATAACATTTTTCAAAATATTCTATACATTTTTTATCCATACCGGAACATTTTTCTATGTTGTTAATTATTCCTAAAAGCATTTTAACTGTGTTTTTGCTAAAATAGGCACATTAAATTTGTAGTACATATCGTATATAATTATAATTGGCACCAACCTATCATAAAAACAAACTTTTTTACTATTAATTTTTCAATATGGTCTCTCTGATAAAAAATTGTTTCATTTCTTTCTTTAACATTTTCACTCTTCCAGAATGAACTAGGTAATTAGTTCAAGAAGTATCCATGCTTTTCTTTCTTTTAATAGTCGAGTTATTGCGAAACCACTCATTTTTTGTTCAGCTCCTTCCGAAGTGGTTTTGTTTTGTCTTATTGTTCTCCTATATTGAACTCTTAAATTGTTCCATCGATTTTTGCGTACAATAGCTATCAAACAATTAATATAATTCCGCTTTCGCTTCAAGGCCATTGTTGCCATCGGTAGATCAGGTGCAGACACATGCATCAAATCACATTTGCCTACTTGATAATATTATGCTGTCACACATTGTCCACTATGCGACGTAGTCGGATTCTCTGATTGCCAAACCAGGGAGGGAGGCTAAATTGCACTCAAAAGGAGTTGAACAATCACAATTTTTCTAAAAGTTGTAATTTTTTACGGGCTACGAAGTGCGCTGGATCAACAATCATCTAGCTACGTCCTAATGCATAATGTATTATACTATTATGTAACTATATTATTGTTATCACTTATCAATAATTAGTTTTATCGATAAAATTAAAAACGGACCAAAGTAACTGTTCTGGTATGCAGTAAGTTGTCTATAAGTGATAAGAGATTTTTAACAAGAAAACTGTCAGCTAAAATACTGTCGGCTGAAAAAATGTCAGCCGTAATATTTTTCCGCTAAAATACTGTCGGCTTGAATATTTGGCATCTAATATACTGTCGGCCATAATATTTTTGGCAAAAGAATAGCCCCTCCCTTTAGGTATACATTTTTCTTTTTTTCATTATAATTGCGGTTTTCAAATTCGGTGTATACAAGACGGATAGACTCTCGCTCAAGTGAGGTGCGATCACGGGTCATAGTGACAGAAAGAAGCCTACTATCAGGGGGAAGGCCTCTGGCATTTTTATAGAAGTCAGAAACTAGTTTAAGAGCTATTTCTTTGAAAAAGAAGAATACCTTGAGAGGTCTCGGACCCCTATCATTAGGTTTGCCAAGTCTGATTGACTTGAGATTAGCAACTACTTCCGTTGATTTGAACACAATGAAAGTAAACCCTCTGCCCTCACAATTTCGGTAAAAATAATGAAGATATTGTATGGGTTTCAAACAACCTAGTGCAACTGGCACATTCAGCTTATTACCACGTTCTTACAATTTTGTTATAACTTGAGTTTTGAAATAATAAGTTAGAATTAAAAGAATTGAAAATATACATCATAAATCTAATAACCGTCCTAGTTTATCCGTTATATACTACATTTTTAAAATTCACTCTCTCATGGTTATAGATAACGCTGAAAACCATTTGGTTCGGCCTTAAAACTCTGTGGTCAGTTATCTCCTCTGGTTCAAGGTTCTGGAATGACATGATTATGTTTAGTCATCCCACCTTTTTGAAATTTATATTTAAGGATCTAGTTATATGACCTAATTATTTAAGTATAACATACTGTGAGAAAGGCTTACCTAAAACTGTATATTTAATAGAAATGGACACATTCAAAAGACAGGAATATAATGGTACATCTGTAGTAATGAAAGGGTTAACATTAAACAGAAGCAGACTGATACAAATTGGTCTACATACCAAACCATCTAGATAATTTATAACATGTTAAATGCTTGTGGCACGTTTCAGATCATTGCGCTAGTCCTTAATTTTTGTAACGCATTCTCTACATAGTTTTGTAGTTTTATCATCTCCGTCTGATCTTCGAGCAAGTGACACATACATGTTTTTAAGATGAAAGAACTCAGGGTAGTCAGGAACATGGGATCGTGTCCCGGGTTGGTCGAAGATAAAAAATACTTCCGGTCCTTGTATGAACTAATCATCGTCAGATCATTCTACCATACATAGTTTTATTGTGTGTTCATTTTCGGCCGACAATATTTCAGATTCGCAACTCGAATACTCCGCCGAATCACTGAAATTAATATATTGTACAAACAAATCCAGATCATTCGATTGGATCTCTCCGTTACTTTCTCTAACTACTTCTACATAGTGGTCTATTACGATAAAAATATTAGCCCATACCACAAAATCAATCTTCAAATTATTGCAGTCACTCATGAGATTACTGAGCCATATTTCTATCATTTCGTACGATGCCCTTATGGCATCTAAGTACCGGTGCCTCAACGTCTCTACGCCAAGCAATATCTTTTCTTCTGATTTAACTCTTGACACCCGATTGAATACATTTTCTATTGCCCTAATCCTTTTTTAACATCTCATTTCATATTTTTTGTTTTCTAAATACCACCTAGCTTCTCTAGACAAATGACTTTTATATCTAAGAAGGATATTAATTGCCCTTCGAATGACATATTTTTTTTTATAAGACGTCGTAAGCGTGTTGCACTTATGGGGCATGTCACGACGTCTACTTTCCAACTGCAGGTGTTGTATCTTGCTGCACTTCATTATTCATTGGTATCTGTGGTGACTGAAATTTCATCATCTGATATTAAAATAGTATCCCCACTCTTGGTATCTGCAGAGCATCAATCTGATATTATAAAAGTCTCCCCGTTCTCTGTAACAAATTCATGAATTAAATATTCTAGGTCATTATGACGCGGTAACTCATCCATTATCCTTCGCGATGTATCCTCCTCAGTGATGAGCCGATTAGCGTTCGTAATTACTGATGTTCCGGACTACCTCCAATGATTTCCACAGTAGCACTGGATTCTTCCTCAGAAACGAAATGGTCGTCACTTCATCAGTCCCCAGGGCAGTCAGCAACGTGGGATCGTGTCCCGGGTTGGTCGAAGATAAAAAATCCTTCCGGTCCTTATATGAACTAATCATCGTCGAACTATTCTACCATACCTAGTTTTATTTATGTTTTCACTAATTATCTCTACTCTTTTTATCATTTTGTTCTTTACAAATTACTTTTTCTTATTATTTCTTATTATCCTCTATTTGTTTAAATAATTATTTTTTTTTGGTGTCTTATCATGTAGTGTTATCATCAAACTATCTAAAATTAATTGTTTTACGATATACAATGCCAATGCGTGTTTCCCTCCATCAGGAATCCGATTTATATTGATCAATTTATCACAACAAAATTATTTTAGTCAATTCGAATTACAAATTTGGTCGGGTGGTAATCTCCGAGATGCTTGAGATACAACTCATCGTGTGAATGCCATTGGCCTAACTGGCTGAAACACCGACCACACAATAAGCATCGGTATATTTCTTCTTCTGGCTTAAATGTTGGAAGTAGTCTCTCGATACAGCTACCATGAGATTCTGTCGTGACGGTCGACAACAGAGAATGTTTGTTTTCTTTTGCACAAGAATTAGTCTCCAATTTCAGGGTCGTTTTCTTTTAAAATACATTTCCTCATATTTACAGATAACGCTGAAAAGCATTTGGTTCGGACTTAAAACTCTGTGGTCAGTTATCTCCTCTGGTTCAAGGTCCTGGAATGACATGATTATATCTAGTCATCCCACGTTTTTGAAATTTATATTTAAGGATCTACGTATATGACCTAATTATTTAAGTATAACATAATGTGAGAAAGGCTTACCTAAAACTGTATATTTAATAGAAATGGACACATTCAAAAGACAGGAATATAATGGTACATCTGTAGTAATGAAAGGGTTAACATTAAACAGAAGCAGACTGATACAAATTGGTCTACATACCAAACCATCTAGATAATTTATAACATGTTAAATGCTTGTGGCACGTTTCAGATCATTGCGCTAGTCCTTAATTTTTGTAACGCATTCTCTACATAGTTTTGTAGTTTTATCATCTCCGTCTGATCTTCGAGCAAGTGACACATACATGTTTTTAAGATGAAAGAACTCAGGGTAGTCAGGAACATGGGATCGTGTCCCGGGTTGGTCGAAGATAAAAAATACTTCCGGTCCTTGTATGAACTAATCATCGTCAGATCATTCTACCATACATAGTTTTATTGTGTGTTCATTTTCGGCCGACAATATTTCAGATTCGCAACTCGAATACTCCGCCGAATCACTGAAATTAATATATTGTACAAACAAATCCAGATCATTCGATTGGATCTCTCCGTTACTTTCTCTAACTACTTCTACATAGTGGTCTATTACGATAAAAATATTAGCCCATACCACAAAATCAATCTTCAAATTATTGCAGTCACTCATGAGATTACTGAGCCATATTTCTATCAT